CATTCCATGGATTACAGAATTCTAGGTTGGAAATACCTTCTTTTCTAGCATTTGAAAAATGCTGTGTCACTTTCTTCTAAACATGCATGGTTTACCATGAGAAACTGTTATTATTTGAATAGTTTCCCCTGCTAGATAAAATCTAATTTCTTTCACTGCTGGTTAGGTCTTTTTTTGTCTTAGTTTTGGGAATTTTGATTAAGCTGTGTCTTCTTGGTATGGTATTTGCTCAGGTTCTTAAATCATGGATTCATGTCTTTTGCCAAATTCGGGCTTTTTTTTTTTTTTTTTGGCACTGGGGAGTGAATCCAGGGGCGCTTAACCACTGAGTCATGTCCCCAACCCTTTTTAGAGATTCAGGGTCTCATGGAATTACGTTGGGCTTGCTAAATTGCTGATGCTGGCTTTGACCTTGTGATCCTCCTGCCTCAGCCTCCCGAGCTGCTGTGATCATAGGCATGCCCCACCACACCCTGCTCAGGTAGGGCGCTTTTGAGTCGTTATTTCTTGGAGTACTTTTCAGCTCTTTGATATCTCTCCTCTTTTTCTTGGACTCCAATGACAAGTACGCTAGATATTTTGTTTTAGACGCATATGTCCCTGAGGTCCTGTTTATTTATTTGTTTTTTTCAGCCTATTTTCTCTGTGTTGTTCAGATTTGGTAATTTCTTTCTATTGTTCCGTCCTCAAGGTTGGTGATTTTCTCTTTTTCTTTTGTGCTGCTATTGAGTCCCTATGTGGTTTTTCTTTTTAAATTTTTGTTATTATATTTTTTCCAGTTCTGAAATATCCATTTTGTATTTTTTTTTGTTTGTTTTCATCTCTTTCTTTGATGGGACTTTCTCTTTTCACTGGGCTCCTCAGTTTCATTTTTTTCAAGTGTTTTTGTAATTGCTCATTGAAACATTTTGATGCCACCTGCTTTAAAGTCTTTGTGACATAATTCTAACATCTCAGTTATTCTGGTGTTGGCTGGTGTTGGAAATTATTGTCTTTATTTATTTTTTCATTCAGATTGAGAGCTTCGTGGTTCTTGGATTGTTGAGCGATTGTTCCATTGAAACCTGGTTGCTTTGGGTACTTTATGATGAGAATCTGGACTCCGTTTTAACCCTCTTGTTATTTCAGTTCCTCTGACACTGTCCAGCAAGGGTAGGAGGGAACAGTGGTGTGCAACAGCCAGGTTCCCCACACCCACTCTGTTGACGGCTGTGTAGAGGAGACCTCCTGCTGTGAGACAGGAGTGGAAGTCCTATAAGATCTCTACTGATGAGGTGGGAGGGGTGGCTTATTACTCCATTATAGGTAGCTTTATGTGTTGTCTCCACCTTTCACTGCCAGGAGGGAATTTATTCTTTAGGCCAATGGCATATATGGCTACTGCCATCTGTCCTGACATTCCCCAGTGCTGTAATAACCTCTGGTTATCAAATCCAGGCAAGTTATTCTGTGTCTTTCTTGTAACACTTGCCATTAGTTCTACTAACATTATTTCATCTCTTCTGATTTTTTTTTTAACTTTTCCTAGGAACATAACAAAATTTAGAGGTCCTTCCATAATACTACTGGCTGGGAAACTTGGGTGCTTGTTGGGATAGCTTTGTAGGAGTGGAAAAAACAAAATTATACACAGAAATCTCAACTTCAGGCCTGCCCAGAATATATGTGGGGAATGAAGGCCCACATAAAAGATTCAGTTATGCAAAAGCTATAAAGCAACAACCAAATTCTTGGAAGCATATTCAGTTATTTAACCTTGATGAGTGATCTTTGTAATGACAAGAAAGAAAAACATGCTGCCTATGTTTTGTCTATGTCTAAAAGTCAGTAAAATATCCAAGATGACTGGATTTAATTATTATTACTAGGTGTATCTCTGCATTCTATTGAAAGATCAGTGATGTTTACATAAATAATATCATGAGAGTGTACACAATTCATAAATGTTAATATTTATCTCATAAAAGTTGTTTTTTGTAAGTTCACTTTAGCAACATCATGTTGTTCTGAACATATGTTGTTATTATCAAGATTTTGACATAATCTGTGTTCTACTGACAACCTTTCTAGATGTATATCTGTATATTTATGCTTCCTGTATATATGTCTATTTTTTTTTTAATTCAATTCGGTTCAACTTTGCTGAGACAACAGCAACCAAATGGTCGATCAAAAATTTAAAGCAATACTTAGACCAGACTTAGATCAGAAAATTAGCACAGATTTTAATATATCACCTTTAAATATTGCAGTGGTTTTGCCTACTGTGAATTATTATGTGGTGTATCAGTTGGGGGGCTTATATGAAAGAAAAAAAAACAGAACAGGAGGTGTGTGTGTGTGTGTGTGTGTGTGTGTGTGTGTGTGTGTTTGTGAATCTCTCTCTGTCTCTGTCCCTGTTCCTGTCTCTATGGATTGTTCATATCTCAAGTCCATAATGGGCTTTTTAGAGGCCGGAACTCTCAGACACAAGCTGATGATGTAGTCCACAGGTCAAGTTCCTTTTTCCTTCTTCCTTTCCCTCTCAATCCTCCTCTTAGTCTTTCTTTTCCCTGTTCCTTTCCTCTTGTCCTTTCCTCTTCCTTTTCTTAAGAGTATTTTACTGATTGAATCCAACCCAACCAGATCCTTCAGATAATCTTTCTTGCTTCAAGAAAACCGAATACAGACTTTAATCTCATCAACAACGCTAGAGTGTGGTTGAATAACTGAGAATTATAGCCTAGCCAACTTGACACATTAAACTTGTCATTACATGCAGCAAGTATTAAACATATTTTGATTTAGTCATAGCATAATCATATATGCTAATCATATAGCACTGTCTCATATTGAAATTGTCACTATCCCTTAAAGCAACAGCTATAGTATATAAGATTAAACATAAATTCACATAATTTTCATCAGGCCAGAGCAAGATTTTTCATTGGCACTATTGACATTTTGGGCTGGAAAATTCTTTGTTATGGATTGTCCTATGTGTTGTTAGCAGAACCTGTTTCTACCCAGCAGATAGATGCCAGCAATAGCCCTCATCGTTGGGACAAACAATGCTTAAAGTTCTTCAAAGGGTAAAGCTGCCTCTGGTTGAGAAACAGTGAGCTAGATGAGCTAGACCTGCGTATATTTTAAGAATTTCCAGGTGTGGGTGCAAGCCTGTAATTCTAGTGATTAGGGAAGTTGAGGCAGGAGTATAGCAAATTAGATGCCACTCTAGATGATTAAGTGAGAATCTACTCAAAACAGAAAATAAAGGGTGGGGATGTGGCCCAGTAGTAAAACATCTTTGGGTTCAATCCTCATTCACACACACACACACACACACACACACACACACACAAATAATATAAATTGTTTAATATTGCAAAACATCCCTCTGCCTCTGACATACTATGAATTAGAATATGAAGAGAATATAAGAAAATGGTCACTTTTCAAATGCAAGATGCAACACTCTGACCTGAAAAAAAAATCTATTTCATTAGTTAAGGAGGGTTTGACAAGATTATTATTAACTTCTTTTCTTTCCTGAGTACTTCGCTGCCCAGTGCTTTGTTTGTTTGTTTGTTTGTTTCTTTATAGAATGAGTACTGTTTACCTATGTTAGATATTTTTCCCCCCTCTTGACCGACCTCACTTTAGCAAGTGGGAAAATTGAAAATTTATACTTAGCAAAGGCAACAACTGTTACGGGAACCACAAAAGCTAAAAGAACTTGCTTCTTATTTACACTGGTGTTTAGTTGATTTTCTGTGGGTCAGAAGAACTTGAGAGTAGAAAGGATTCTAGAATTCTGGTATTTAGATGGCTATGACATGCCAGAGTCACATATGAGCAATGAAGACTGGTTACCCTATAGTCAGGGTTCTCCCCAGAAACAGATCCAATAGGATGTGCACACAATCATCCCTCAATGTATACACAGGATACCTTACAGAAAGTCCCTTATATAAAGTGGTGTCACATTTGCATGTAATCTAGGCTTGTCCTTCCACATATGTTAAATAATGTCCAGATCCCTTATACCTAATATGTTTCAGTACTGTCACACCATGCTGTTATACTGTATTGTTCGGGGAATAACAACAAGAGAAAAGTCTACTTGTTCAGTAAGACGCCATGTGTTTTTTAATATTTCCCATCCCAATCCATGGATGCAGAATGAATAGGTACAGAGGATTGACTGTGTAAAAGTTTTGCTTTGGTTAATTTGCTCATGTGATTTTGGAGGCTGGTGGACCCAAAATTTGCAAGGTGGCACACAAGGTAAAGATCAGGGAATGATCAGTGCTCCTGTTTGAGTCGGAAGGCTATCCTCTGTTAGAATTTTCTCTTGCTTAAGAGAGGTCAGTCCTTTGTTCTGCTCAGGCCTTCACCTGATTGGATGAGGCCTGCCCACGTGACAGACAGTAATCTGCTTTACTCAAAATTCACAGATTTAAATGCTAATCTCATCCAACACCCACACCCATAGAAATAACCCACATTACATTTGACTAAGTACCTGTGCTTTGTGGCCCAGTCAAGGAAAATTAACCATTATAATAAATTTACCATCACATAAGATAAACCATCACAATTACCCTATAATAATTTAGTTATTCCTTGTTAACCTAAAGAACTCTGCATTGTGGGCAAACCTAAACTATGGAGTCAGAGAAACTTCATACTGGAGTTCTTCTGAAAAAAAAACAATTTTTTTTTTTTGGTAAGTTCTTGGACAATCTACTTCCTGGATCTCATTTCTTCATCTGTAAAATAGGCTTAATAATATTCACCTGCTAGGGCTGTTGTGGAGAACTGATTTTGATAATGTATATAAAGCATTCATCTCCAGCTGGGCTTTGGCCTATATTTTCAGCACTAATAGTTTCCTTTCCTTTCTTTTTTTAAATTATTTTTTTCTAGATTTTTTTATTGGTTCTTTTTAGTTATATGTGACAGTAGAATCCATTTGACATAATTATAAAATTATTGAATATATTATGTTCTAATTCAGTAAAACTATGGAATGCTTCACAAATTTGGGTGTTATCCTTATGCAGGGGTCATCCTAATCTTCTCTGTATCTTTCCAATTTTAATATATGTGCTGCTGAAGTGAGAAATCCTTTCTTCCTTGAAGGCTAGGAAATTGAGTCAGGTCCAATGCATGTGGCTCCTGGCATCAACGTATGCAGGAATCCTAATTTCTAAGCCCCAGTAAATTTTACAAAGTGTGTTAATGCTGGTCACAGTGCATGGTGGGCATGCAGTAGAAGCTAAAATTTTGACTAATGAGGAATGTAGAGTTAGGAGTCCATGTTCTTTTTTCTTTGCTATGTACAAATGGGTCAAATAAAGCATTATGGATCTCAGTGGAGACCTTTTTAAAAATTGCAGATTTGCCATTGATTTCAATTTAGCAAATTCATTCAACTCACAGATTTCAAGGAAAATAAGTGGAGGAGGAACTGATAGGACAATTTGACATGCCTTGGGTTAGTAGGAAGCTCAAGAAATTTCAAGACATTCCTAAAGACCCACTCCAAGACATAATTTTAGCATGGGAATGACTTAATAATTTTTGACAATAATTTTTAATATATGTTTTATTTGCCTTTCTTCACATTCTTTGTGCATTTTGGAAAGCAGGTGTATTACATTAGCTAGGTCAAAGTTCTGTGGAGATGAAAAAGTACACTGCCTCTCAAACTTTGTGAATAAATTCTATTATCTTATTCTTCTGTTTTCTTCACTTATTGCTGAACTCCACTCACTTCAGATACTGAGTCTTATTCTCTTTTGTACTTTCAAGTCCAATCTTGCTGACAAAATGACAGACTCAAATTTTAATAAATAAAAAAACATTTATCGGATGCCCAAAATATTCTAGGCAACGTTCTAGAAGTTTTGCATGTAATTGACCCAATGTCCTGGTATGGTTAGGACTGAAAGGTTTTCTAGGATGCCATAACTTTGAGTGATAAAATTGTAAAGATCCCACACAAACTTGGACCATTGGTAACCCTATTGCATATCACACATATTGGCTCCAAACAACATGTAATTTACAGTCATTAAATAATCAAATAATGTAAATTATTAAAATATTGTCCTTAAATAAGAATACTTAAAGAATTTATTAGCTGTCTTCTGTACCACTGCTTCCTAAGGTTTTTTTCTTCAAAATATACCATAGGCCAGGATTATGGTACACTACATTTACTTTGTTATTTGGGAATATAGTTATTGTTTATTAAGGTTTCTCAAGCTTTTACCTACATTATCTCATTTAATTCTGACAACTCCTTTTTAGGGTAAAATTATTATTCTTGTTTATCAACAAAGAAGCTGAAAGTCAGAGAAGTAAAATCATCTACTTCAATTTAAAGCCTCATGGAAAGGCGATGAATAGGCTTTGCCCCTTCTCAGGCTGTACAAACCTGCCTCCCAAATAACAGAGTGGACTGACATGACAAAGGCATATTTAATATGCAGATGCCACTGGTTCTCCATTCAGAATATGACCTCTGGGCTTCTCCAGGTGAAGGGAATAGACTTTTCGCGGTGGTCTGAAAAAGTTCAGAATTTAGGTTCTTCTTTGTGCTCTGAAAACAGATCTGAATAGGACCTGCATTCTGTAGCTTGGTATTTTAGTCTGTGTTTTTGCTACCGTGTCCAAGAAACATGACAAGAACAATTTTAGAGGAGGAAAAGTTTTTTTGGAGCTCATGTTTTCAGAGATGTCAGTCCATAGATGGCCAGCTCCATTGCTCCATTGCTCTGGGCCCAAGGTGAGACAGAACATCATGGCGGAAGGGTGTAGAGGAGGAAAAATGCTCAGGACGTGCCAATCAGGAAGTAGAGAGAGCTCCACTCACCAGAGACAAAATGGTTCTAGTGACCCACTTCCTCCAGCCATACCTTCAGTTACTTCCAGTTAGTCCATGTCAGGGGATCAATCCACTGATTGGAAGTTAAAGCTCTCATAACCCAATCATTTCTGGGGCTGGGAATATAGGTCAGTTGGTAGAGTGCTTGCCTCACATGCACAAGGCCCTAGGTTCAACCCCCAGCATCACAAAAATAAATAAATAAGCAAAGAAACCCAATCATCTCTGAAAATTCTTGCAGTGTCTAACACATGAGTGTTTGGGGGACATCTCATATTTAAACCATAACACTTAGTAAGCATGTAGCTTAGGGTGGGAGGTAAAGATTCCAATTGCCATTCAATCAGAGTTTCTTTGAGTTGTGTTGGGGAGATGAAATGCCCCAGCACTCTATAGTCTTCCAAATGCACTTTGGGGGTTTCCCTCTAATCAATTTACTGTCTTTGCTTTCAGAAGTGCTTGAAGGTCAGAGTCACTATATCTGTTTGCCTGTTTCTCAGAAAATCCTTTGGGATTGTGACCCTTATATACAGAAAATGAGGTATGGTAGCCAAGACCCTTGTGCATGGAGATCTCCCAAGTATGTGGCTGAAAGCTCAGCTGCTTGCTCTGAATCTATCACTGAATTTGTGCCAGAATCTTGTTTCCTACCATGGGCTTCCAGCCAATGACTGAGTGTGTCAGGGACACAAGTGCCGTTCCTACCAGGTGGTAAACTTTTCTGAGGAGCGATTTGGGTTCAAGGACTTCCCAGTGGCCTACCCCAAATCTTAAAGTTTTGTTGTGGGTCAAGTCTTCCTACCCACACTCTTCTATCTTCCCTCTTTTCTTTACAGGATGAGAGCAGAACTGCATGCCCCCTCAAGGTTCTCTCAGTTTCAACTGGACACTCCCATTTTCCCTAATAGACACTTCCCCCGTGACATCTCTTGTATGTCTACACCCATCTTGGTGTTGATTGCTTCTCTGAAAACCGAAACTAAACACATACTGGTACTTAATATCTACTGTCTCCAGTTTCAAGTACTTAGCCAAACTATTAATTTGAGACAATAGGAAAAATCCCATTTAACACCCTACTGCTAAGCTATGGGTTCAAATTTTAGAATATTGGGTTCAGTGCCAGATAACTCAAACCAAAACGTACACACACACACAGACACACACACACATACACACATGCAAGGCAGGAAGAGTAAACTGGAATCAATAGAACATTTAATGAAAAAAATATATTAGTCTAGATTGCTGAGAAAATTCCACAAGTCACTTTGCCTGTATAAATGGAAATAGTACAATTATAGATGAGGATTTATTTATGACTGTAAGCTCAGGTTCATGACTCCTGGGTTGATTTTTTTTCCCCTACTAATGTAGATCTTGAATACACCCCTTCATCACTCTAAATTAAGCTTTTCTCATCTGAAAAAAAATATAAAATAATGTCATTATATCCCAAAAGCAAAGTCCTGTTCCTCCCATTTTGCTGATGATGAAAAACTAAGACTTAAAAAGAAGAATTTAACTTGCTCAGGTTAACCTAGGTAGGACACAAATAGAATAAAAGTTTAAATAGAAGGTTGGTGGCTAGATAGTGTTTGTTCTTTTCATCTATTTAGAACGGCACCCAGTAATCTTTACAGTATTTCCAATTATTAATTTTATGGATTTATACACTTGGAATTAAAAAATAACACTTTGTCTAAACCCATATTTTAACTGTGCATAGATATTTTCAGTTAGTGAAGGAAAGCACCTTATTGGACCATTTTAGTTTATTTTTCATTGGCTGCTTTACTGAGCCTCAACAAATGTGTTTGCTTTGCAGAGCCACCATGGATTAATCCTGAATAAGTAATTTGGAAATGTTTTTATTCATTTCTATGGAAACCATCTAGTTGGATTTTCATATATCAAGATCATAGAGATTTGTCCCAGTCCAATTGCAATCTTAGTTACAGCAGTGTTGGCTTACATATTAAGGGCATAGTTTTGCTCTGATGACCCTTCAGAAATCTGTAACTGGTGTGGAACACTGACACTAACAGAATGTGTCTTATGAGGTCCTGTGAGTTAGGCTTCTACAGATTAGTGGAATCTTTCTTGATGAAACAAGACCCTTGGAATTTATGAATACTATTTGCCTTTCCCATGCACTCCTTTTTTTTTTTCCTCACACAATGATCTTTACCTGATTTTGCATTTTGAAGGGTCAAATTTAAATGCAAGAGTCTAATTGATACTGGAGGTAATGGATACCAGAGATGTATTTCTTGACTTTTTGATTCCCAAGTAGGGTTTTTTTTCCCTCTAAATGAACAATACTTCCTTTCTACAGACATGTCCTGTTAATTTGCAGAATATGTCTTCTGCTTCCAACATTACTTTATACATCATCCTCCTTCTTTGGCTTCTAGGACTTCTTGGCCCAGGGCATCTCTTTTCTCTTCAAGATTGCTCAGAAGGTTGTATGTTTCTGGGAAGGTGGATCTTGGGGGTCATGCAGTGCAGACTTCCTGGTGATTGTGAACCTTTTTTATTTTTATTTTTTGTACTAGGGAGTGAAACCAGGGGTACTTTACTCCTGAGCTACATCCCCAGTCCTTTGAACTTTTTATTTTGAGACAGCTTCTTGCTAAGTTGCTGAGGCTGGTCTTAAACTTGTGATCCTCCTGTGTTAGCCTCCTCTGTTACTGGGGATTATAGGCATGCACTACTTTGTCCAGCTTGATGAACCATTTTTAAAGAAAAATCATTGTAGGGGATGGCCTGAGGGTCTAAGAATCAGGTAGAAATTTAAACCACAGATGCAAATCCACCAGAATTCATAATAAATGTGCCCCTGCCTCCATCTATCTTTCTTTTTTTTTCTTTCAAGTCAAATGATTTTTTTATACAAAATCATTTCTTAAAACATTGGTTAGCTATACCTGATTTATAACATATAAAATAGCATCTATAATGCCAAATATTATATATTTCCATGTGATACCATAACACAGTTAAAAAGCCAGCCAAGAGGCTTTTAAAGGGAGGAAGAAGTCTTGCCCATTATAATGAAATTTGCTTATTCTCTCTTCAGTTTATGCCTATGGCATGTCTATTGGTTTTCTTTTGGTCATTTTTACATTTAAATTTTGTCTCCCATAAGCATAATAGAATAAGGTTTTTAACACCAGTCTAAAAATCTTATTCTTTTACTCAGAGTGTTTAGTCCATTTATCTTTAATGAA